ACTAGGCTGGTCCTTTGGAAGCCTGGATCACGTGCCTGGCTGCCTCCACAGCTCGGGCAGATCACGGGAGCTTCTTTCTGTATCTCTGGACGGAGTGTGTGAACAATGGTCAAGTAGCTCTTTCCACAGTGCATTTGTCCGGCCTAGCAACAGAACTCAAAGACCATGATATGCTTTCTGTCTCTTGAGAAATAAAAATACAACTGTAAAAGTGACTGCTATACATGTTTTCTGACTGGAAATATATCTTAATTAGTCCCTGTATTCTGTGGCACAGTATCCTCAGGGGGAAGGAACTGTTTGTTTTCCCAGAAAAAAAAAAAAATCTTAAAAAGACAAAGTCCTTGTGGGTTGCCATTTTGTTTTGTTGATGGTTCCTTTTGCTGTGCAAAAGCTTTTTATTTTGTTGAAGTCCCAATGGTTTAATTTTGCTTTTGTTTCTGTGGTCTCAGGAGACATATCTAGAAAAATGTTTCTATGGGCAGTACCAAAGAAATTGCCACCTGTGTTTTCTTCTAGGAATTTTATGGTTTCAGATGTCACGTTTAGGTCTTTCATCCATTTTGAGTGTACTTTTGTGTGTGGTGTAAAAAAGTGGTCCAGTTTAATTCTTCTGCATGTGGCTGGTCCAGTTTTCTCAATACCATTTGTTGAAAAGACTGTCTTTTTTCCATTAGATATTCTTTCTTGCTTTGTCAAAGATGAATTGACCATATAATCATGGGTTTATTTCTGGCCTCTATTCTGTTTCATTGATCTATGGGTTTGCTTTTGTGCCAGGACCATACTGCTTTGATGATCACAGCTTTGTAGTACAGCTTGAAGTCTGGAATTGTACCTCCAGCTTTGTTGTTCTTTCTCAAGATTACTTTGGCTATTTGTGGTTCCACACATATTTTAATATTATCTGTTCTAGTTTTATGAAAAATGCTCTTGGTATTTTGATAGGGATTGCATTAAATATATAGATTGCTTTGGGTAGTATGGACATTTTAAGAATACTAGTTTTCTTCCTATCTGTGAGCATAGACTATCTTTCCATTTGTTTGTGTCATCTTTGATTTCTTTCTTTAATGTTTTATAGTTTTGGAAGTATAGTTTTTTCACCATCTTGGTTAAGTTTATTCCTAGATATGTATTTTTGGCACAATTGTGAATGGGTTTGTTAATTTCTCTTTCTGCTACTTCATTATAGTGTATAGAAACATGACAGATTGCTTTATATTAGCTTTATATCCTGTGATTTTACTGAATTCATTTATTAGAAGATATTTGCCAGGGATCCCTGGGTGGCGCAGCAGTTTAGCGCCTGCCTTTGGCCCAGGGCGCGATCCCGGAGACCCGGGATCGAGTCCCACGTCGGGCTCCCGGTGCATGGAGCCTGCTTCTCCCTCTGCCTGTGTTTCTGCCTCTCTCTCTCACTGTGTACCAATCATAAATAAATAAAAATTAAAAAAAAGATATTTGCCAAAGACATATTTCATAAGGGGTTAATACCCAAAAGACATATGGAAATTATACAACTCAACTCCAGAAAAACAAATAATTTGACCCAAAAATGGGCAGAGGACCTGCATAGACATTTTTCTAAAGAAAACATACAGATGGCCAATAGACACATGAAAAGATGCTCAGCATCGCTAATCATCAAGGAAATGGAAATCAGCACAATGAGATATCACCTTACACCTTTAGAATGGCTAAAATAAAATACATAAGAAACAACAAGTATTGGTAAGGGTGTGGAGAAAAAGGAACCCTCGTGCACTGTTGGTGGGAATGCAAATTGGTGCAGCCACTTTGGAAAACAATATGGAGGTTCCTCCAAAACTTAAAAATAGAATTACCATATGGCACAGTAATTCTACTTCTGGATATTTACCCAAAGGAAACAAAGATAGTAATTCAAAAAGATATGTGCACCCGTATGGTTATTGCAGCATTATTTATAGCCAAATTATGGAAACGACCAAATGTCCATCCATAGATGAGTGGATAAAGATGTGATATATATCTGTATATATGTGTGTGTGTGTGTGTGTGTGTGTATATGGACTATCACTCAGCCATTAAAAAAGAATGAGATCTTGCCATTTGGAGCAACATGGATGGACCTAGAGAATGGTATGCTGAGTGAAATAAGTCAGAGAAAAATAAATACCACATGGCTTCACTCGTATGTGGAAGTAACAAAACAAATGAACAAAGAAAATCGAGACAAGCAAAAAAGCCCCAGCAGACTCTTAAATATAGAAAACAAACTGGTGGTTGCCAGAGGGGAGGTCGAGGAAGAGGATGAAGTAGGTGAAGGAGATTAGGAAAACACTCATCATGATGGGTACTGAATAATGTACAGAATTGCTGGATCATTTGAAACTATATAACTATGTTAATTAACTTCAATTGAAAAAGAAGAAGAAGAAAAAAGAAGGTCTTTGTGAAGAAGAAACAGAATTTTTAGGCTTCTAGATTGAGATGGTAGAATGACCACGAAGGATTGTGGAGCTAATACAAAGCATCCATGTGAAATGAAGAGCTTTCCTGAAGAGTTCTTAGGAAGTTGGGTTTCCCTGAGATTCACTCCATACTCTTTGTTACAGCCCTACCATGGTTGTTACAGAGACATGCTACCAAGGGCACCTAAGTTGGCTCGAAGGAACCAGGCACAAATAATCACACCAAAACACACACATCTTCATGTGCATAGTCACCCACATACACACTCTTTCCTCGCACACTTCATTCCAGGGAATGGGTTCTAGTAAAGCTTCTTTGAAAAATATAAATATGACAATATCATTCAGACAGGTTGGTGATGGTGTTTCCATAATACTTGTGCTTGTTCTCTAGTAGAGCATTTTTTTTGTTGTTGTTGTATTATAGGTAGTTTTAACTGTGTATGGTGGATAGAGAACTTACCAAGGGCAGAAATGTCTTATCCATTGTTTAAGACCCCTGGTAGACCATCTGGCACACAGTGTGTTGCTTGCTTGGTTATTGTCCGTTGAAGGAAGGAAGGAAGAAATGAGTACAAGAAATGGAACTGTGGAGGAGCACCCCAGAACCAAGTCTGCTTTGCCTTTCTGGGAAGCCTCAGCTGAAGAAAGAGCAAAAACAGAAACTGTTTCAAATGATTTTAAAATGCCAGCAAAGATGTTACTAGAAAAACAAGAATGCCTTTTTTTCAGGCTCAGCAGGTAACCCTCTGCTGATTCTGGGATACATTTTTTTTTCCAACTACACATGCCATTTTAAACACTGTTTTGGGGGTGCTTGGTGCTGTGTGTGTGCTTTCATTCTCCCCTGGCAAAAAATTAAAGCATCATCTGGCAGGTTTGCAAAAGAGATCCTTTATGGACAGAAGATTTTGTTGTCAGTAGGTGATGAATCGATCTGCAGGGACAGGGTCCGTGAGGGAGCTCTCAGTTTGAAGCACGCTGTCACACGCTGGGCCTCTGTTCCTGATCCCTTGTCTGTGTCTAAGAGCTTTGCCATCAGGTTTCAGAGGCAGCTGTTACCTTTCTTCCACGGGAAACAAATAGATTCTCAGAACCAAGCTTGTGACGAGGATGAGCCCTGCTAACTCCAGCCTTGGGTCAGTATCATCTTCCCTGAAAGCTCTTCCCTCTGGACTTCTCTTCTTCCTCCTCTCTTCCTCTACCCTATCCATCCTTCAGGCCCTGGCCATTCCAGCTGATAGGATTTACCGTGCTTTCGGAGTTCGTGTATTTGCTAACTGTGCCACAAGGTGTCATTATTTTATTTGAGCTCATTTTATTTCCCAAGTTTTTGGAGCACAGGAACCATATCTCCTACATCTTTGGATTTTCCCCAGCAACCCAGGTAGGCAGTCACTCCTCTCTGATGCTGTTATAAAAAGCACTAAATAAATTGGTCTACAGTGAGAACTCAGGGACTTCTGGAAAGCTGTGATGTGGACTGTGGTTTGGGAGGTTAAGGAAAGTAGTGAATATATAGAGACAAAAGGAATGAAAAAGGAAAAATGTGTAAACTGTCAAAATATCACAAAATATTATTCCACCAGTAGACTCTCTCATTAACTTGCTTTCAGAAAACTCCTGTTTAAACTATGCACACACACATATGTGCACACACATGTTCACATAAACACATGTGTATATTCACATATACATTCATATAGGCATATCTATACATGATTTTTGCACATATTACATATGTCTATGTGGTAAACCCTCAGCAGAGTATTTTACCAGATTAGTGTATGTGTTAACTGTTCAGAGAACAGGACGTGGATACATAAATCAGCTGTGGTGGAGAAAGTAGGTCTGGACCAGTCCAGAGCCAGAGGTCGGACCCCTGAAGGGCCTTCAGGGCCCCACAGCATGAGTGCCAGGCACCTGGATACTGAGTCACAGAGGAGGAATGGGGGGCAGTGAAGGTGATTGTGTCTGCTTGGGAAAGGCGAGCTGCCCTAACCTGGCTCCTGCCTCACCATCCCCTCAGGTGTAAGGAAGGGCTCTTGGAGTCCTACGTGAAACAATGTCTTCTTACCTTTGTTCATTCAGCTTTTAAGACAGTTTATGTTGGGCAGATACAAGAAAGGTCATAGATAGAGATGCTAGCCTCACCCTATCTGGACTTTAGCTTTCTTATCTGGAAAATGGAATTTCTGTCCTAAACAGACTTCTGGCAAAGAAAGGTAAGGACCCAGTGCCCTTTCCATGACACTAGGTGGCCCCATGGGCTAAACCTGTGGCAGATTGGACCCATGTCCTCTTGCACCTGTGTTTTAATGTCCTAGGCTGGCACATTTCCATTTCATTGTCTTCTTGGTAAGACCAATACAAATGCAGGCGGTTGTGATGACCAGCCAGAAGCATCTTGGTGTCCATCTCTGCTTTTCTGGCAGTTCACTCAGTTTGCTTCAAGAACCTTCTGCACTTTACAAAATAGGTATTATTAGACCTTTTATGTTGTTGTGAAAACAGGACCAGACACATGTGTGTTTTGTTTTCTAGGGAGATGTGCATCCAACAGGATGGGAGAATTCATCTCACCGTTGTTTACTTTGGGAAGGAAGAAATGAATGAGGTCAAAGGAATACTTGAAAACACTTCCAAGTAAGTACAATGTGGAGCTATAATGAGGAGTCATAGTAACCGACCTCAGGAGTACATGTCCAAGGCTGACACTTCTGCTTCTGTGGGTCAGATGGGCGGTCAGCTGGTCACTTGCTGTGCTAGGAGGAATTGTGTGTCCCCCATTCCTTGGGGATCACCCACCTGACACTGGTCCTTGCCGTGTTGACTTTGACAGTTGAGATGAACTGCCCTGAGGTGCAAGGGTTGGGGCACAGGCTGCTTTGGGCTTCTGTGTGACTGGGTGTTGTCTCAGTGCTGCTGATCTGGAGACTTTATGTCACAGAATGGGAATTAGGGACAGTGTATCTGTGCAATGAGCTCGGCTGAGTGATATCCATGCTTGGGTTTCCTCCACTTAGCAAATAGTCTCACTCTTTTGACTTGCATTCATGATGCATTTTGAAAGATTAGGGGGAAGCCAGAAGTGATGGCTGGAATGGAATCCTTGATTAAACCTACTCAGTTGAATAGAAATTATTTAACCAAAAACATTAGACTCAGGATTGTATATTTATATGCCATTGATCAGTTGCATGGGGGAGTAAATGAAAGCACAGATGGATTTTCTTCGCTATCCAAATAAATTAAAAAGTATTTATTTGATAAATATCTGTGGCATTTTCTGCTAGTGAGGAAGCCCGAATGGTACCACCACTCTGCAAGGGAGCTTTGCAGGGCTTCACTTGAGCAATTAGGTGGGTAGTTTCTCTGTAAGTGAAACCTGGAGGGGTGTCAGTAGTACTCAGTGGCAGAAAAAGCCTGAAGAGATCCATATGGCCTGAATATAAACAGGGCCTCCTGTTCTGAGTTTCTGATAAATGGAAATAGGATGATAGTCAAAGGTTAAGAATATAAGATTGAGTGCACTTTTGTATTTGTTTTCATACTTTGTTACTAATTTGGTATCTATGGGCACGAGATCAGAATGCTTATTAGAATTACCTAAATGTTCTAAAGCAGTCTGCTGGTCTTATTTCTCTAAAACAAAACAAAACAAAACCCAAAGTTTTTTTGGAGTGTAGGCATGCTCATTTGTTAATATATTATTTATGTCTGCTTTTGTGCTGCAACAGAATTGAGTAGTTGTGACAGAAACTATATGACTTGTAAAGCCTCAACTCTACTGTCCAGTCCTTTGGAAAAGGTTGACCTCTCTGTGCTAAAGCAATATGGAATTCAGAACTTAAAACTAGCAACTGCTTAAAATCTAGACCCCTATCAAAGGGAGATCAAAGAGAATAGAATAATTGAAAATCCTAAATGTAAGTGAAATAGAGACTCTCAAATCCAGCACATTGCAAATATCCTTTTCATCTCTGCTTAGGAATGAGGAATTATTAGAATTCATGTCCTCTGCCCAGTGGATAGGTTCCAGCATCTCTCAAAGTATCCATTCCTGGACATGGATCTTTTTTTTCATAAGTTTCCTAGATGATTCTAACATGCAACCAGGATTAAGAGTCATTGTCTGAGAAAGTAGTGGTCCACCCTGGGGGCTGCCCCATCCCGAGGCAGTTATCCAGGTGATTCTAAACTGCAATCAGAACTGAGAAATTCAGTCCTCCTGAGTCTGAGCACTTTAAAAGATATTTGCTGATATATATAACCAGCTTGACATGAGTCTGAAGGCCAAGTGGAAGGCCAGTTTAGTGTGGTTATGAGAAATATCCTTTTTAGTGACTGGAAGACTTAGGACTCTTATTATTAAGGCATTCTTCTCTGTGTCAATTCTCGATCAGAAGGTTGCTTGCTGAGCAAAGAATGAAGAGAATCTGAACAAAAAAAGTAGAAATCATTTCAGTGGTAGGGATCGTTTACTTAGTTTTGGAAAATTTCCAGAGATTAATCTACCCATAACTGAGAACTTTGTGCTGCGGTGGGCCAGTCAGTGCTTTAACTCTGGCAAAATGAACTGGAACCCCATTCTTCTGTGTCCATGTTCTCATTTGGTAACTGGGGATACGTGCAGGATATCTCTGATGCCTTGGGGGTGTCCTACCCCCTCCATGGTGTTGCTCTGACCAGAGCAGGGATGGCCCACCCTCTGCAGCCAGGCCTGACTTAACCCTGCAGCCCTACCATTCCACCTTCCACATCAGTCTTCCTAATCACTTACTGCCCTCACCTCCTAGCAAGACTTGCTTTAACTTGTAACCTCATCTTTTTTTTTTTTTTTTGTAACCTCATATTGATGGCTTCCAGTTCACAGCCAAACTGGGCCGGGGGGTCGGAGTGTGTGGTATTTGCCCCTTCATCCTCACTCCCATCATGGTCTTCCACTTGGTGTTCTCTCCATCCTCCTTTCTACATACTCAGACCATCACCCTTCCGTGCCCACCCGATTGCCCACTCTGGAGCTCTTCCTAACCTTCAGGCTTCTCTCTGGACTCAGACGGTACTTGCTGTCAGCATCTCTTCTGTTTGTCACTTGGCATATAATTTGTCTATTCCTAACTAGGTTATAAACTGCGTAGTAAGTACTACCAAATTACATGGCTCTTTGTAAATCTAGTTTAGTGCCTTACTCAGAACACATCCAGTGTTTGTTCATCAAGAGAAGGATAGGGGCACCTGGGTGGCAGAGCCAGTTATGCATCTGACTCTTGGTTTCAGCTTAGGTCATGACCTCAGGGTCCCGAGATTAAGCTGCGAATTGGGCTCTGTGCTCAGCGTGGAGTCTGCTTGAGATTCTCTTTCTCCCTCTCCCTCTGCCCCTTCTGCTCTTGCTGTCTCTCTTTCTCCCTAAAATAAATAAAATCTTTAAAAAAAGAGAAAGATAATGCCACATACACAGTATATTTATACTCATAGTAATCTATATGAAAACTTATAAGCCCTATTTAAATGTCATTTTTATCATTCTTTTAGGGTAGCTAAACTTTTGTGCAAATGCATCTTATCTTTGAACAATAATAATAACCATTATTTACATGAATTATCTTGGTTAATACAGCAGCCTCATGAGATAGGTGTTGTTATTAATCCCATTTCATAGACAAAGAAACTGAGGCTGGGGATCCCTGGGTGGTGCAGCGGTTTGGCGCCTGCCTTTGGCCCAGGGCGCAATCTTGGAGACCCAGGATTGAGTCCCACGTCGGGCTCCCGGTGCATGGAGCCTGCTTCTCCCTCTGCCTATGTCTCTGCCTCTCTCTCTCTCTCTCTCTCTCTCTCTCTCTCTCTCTCTCTCTCTCTGTGACTATCATAAATTAAAAAAAAAAAAAAAAAGAAAGAAACTGAGGCTGGAGAAGTGGTTACTCAGGCTGCCATCCCTACCACATCAGAGAGCCAGGATCTGAGCCTCAGCTGTTAACTGCCAATACTCCAGGTCTTAACATGACACCACATTTTCACTCCAGTGTAATCCCTCCTGAAACTCATAATTGTCAGTTGAAAGTCATAAGATTTAAAATCAGCCTCAATGATAATTTATTTCATCAGGATACCAGCATTGTGATTAAACTGTTCTAAATCTAGACAAATGTATATATGTTAAGAATATCTTCTAAAAATCTAGTTTGGCTTATGTGCAATGTTTCATTCTGTCTCTAAATTTATGTTTACTCAGTTGAGCTTTACATTTCAATTGATGGCTGTAGATTAGTGTTTTGGAAACTGCAATTTGTGATTCATTAGGGGGTTGTGTAATAGCTTTAGTGGGTTATGTCCAGTGTTTTCAAAAGATTGAAATAAAATAGGATAGAAGATATCAGGGTGCATGCATCAGAAGTAGTAAGGATTAAATATTGTTTGGTAAGACTTTAGAGAGAGAGAGAGAGAGTGAGTGTGTGTGTGTGTGTGTGTATCTACTGTGTCATGATGTATAATATATTCCTTTGTAAGGGTTGCAGTAAAAATATTTAAAAACCACTGCCATGGATAACAGTACAAATCAGTTTTCAGCATCTGATTCTTATTCCATAAAGTTTTCTGTATTAAGCTGCAGTTAATCTCAGATTAAAGCCTAGCTTAATGATTCTCAAATATAAATGTGCCTTGGAATAGCCAGGGTGCTTTTTAAAATGCAGATTCCTGGGATCCAGCTCCAGAAATTCTGAGTCAGTAGCCCTGAGATGGAGAAGCTTTGTATGAGTTCCCTGAGTGATGCTGTTGGAGATGGCCCATGGCCTACACAGAGAAACACTGGCCTAGGTAGGACATTTGCTTGGAGCTATGTATCAGGAAATTTTAAAAAATTATAACAGGTAGGCAGATCGGCATGAGTTAGCATTTACCACATTGCAACTTCATCTTTGCCGAATCATAAGGACACAGGGCATCTTTCAGAGGTATTATCTCTGAGATCCAGAGATGAGACACTGCCCTGTCTTTGCAAGTATGTGACATAAGAGGGCTTTTTTCTAGATGTATTGTTGGGGACCTGTTTTGCTCTGGTGTGTGTCATCATTTCATTGCCTCTTTGAAAGGATTTGTTTGACATGTACCCTCAGGAAGATTTTATCAGGACCTCCAGAAGAATATTTGGGGGAAAGGTTTTATTCTAGTTTGTTTTCCTTCAATTTGTTTCTTAAACTTGAGCAGTATTCTTGTTTTGTTTTAATTTTTTTCTTACGTAATTTTTAGATACTCTTTCATTCGCTAAAATAAAAAAAGCAGTACAGCAAATCCCTCCCAAGAAGATAAGGAATCTTGGACCCTGGGAGGCATCTTGTGGATTAAGGCAGCATCTCAGGCTTAAGGCCCTGCCACCTGGCATTTGCCAGAGGGGTCAAGTATGGTTCTGCTTGGTGGAGATTCTGCTCTTTGTGGAGATATACCTGTATTAGGTATTCTAAATTGTGCCTTGGGCAATTTGAACATAGCATATATAGTATTATAATAATGTTAACTTTCCGGAGTGTGATGATTATATTATTTAATGTTATAAGGGAGAGTGCCCTGATTCTTGGGAGATACTTCTCTTCAAGGGTAGAGCTGTCATGCTGTCTGCAACTAACTTTGAAATGGTTCCAGGCAGGCAG